ATACCTTTGTGATCCCACATTTCCATAGTGATATCACTAACCCACTGTGAAATTCCAATCCTCTCACACCCAATCCAGGTATGAAATGTGATACCCGAATCCAGTGTGACATTTAGATCATAGTGACATCACACTGATAGATGTTAAGAGCATTTTGTCACATTCTGAGAACACACACCTGTTAGGACTTCATCACTTTTGTGACAACGCATGCCTTTGGAGATACCACAGTCCCTTTATGAGCTCATATACTCATTGTGAGTTAATGACAATTGAGATCACATGTGTCATTTTGATATCACCAACCCATTTTGACATCACACACCTCTTGTAAACATCACTAGTGTGGCATCACCAATTGTGATATGAAAACCTTATTAAGTTATCATATTGCAACATCACATTGCCATTATTATATCACTGTTCCATTGTGTTTTCTAAAACCTAGTATGTCTTCATAGCATTTTAGAAAATTCATGGTCTTTTATACTTCATTCTTCTTCTGTGAACTCATATCCTCATTGTGAAATAGTAGCAACTGAAATTGGACATGTGATTTTGAGGTATGACTTCACAAAACTATTTGATTTCATTACCAATTTGACATCCAAACCCATTGAGAACTTTCATTACCATTTGACATCACTATCACATTTTGACATCCCAAACCGATTAAGACCTCTTAGCACATTTGATAAAAACATAGGACCTTTGTGACATCACAGTCGCTTTGTGTAACTATAACCTCATTATGAACTTCCAATTGGTATCAGACATGCCATTGTAATATCACGAACCCTTTGTGGCATCACCAGTGTGACATAACATTTTCATTATGACAGCGTCAACTACTTTTGATATCACAAAAGTACAATGACAAGATAGCATTATGAGATCACATTGTCATTGTGAAGTTACAGATAGATTGTGAATGTTTATTTTTAATTGTTTTTTTTTCCGGTTGTGGGGCTTGAACTCTGGGCTTGGTTGCTGTTCCTGCTCTTCTGCTCTAGGTGAGCACTCTATCGCTTGAGCCACAGCACCACTTCTGGTTTTCTAGTTGTTTTTATTGGAGATGAGTCTTATGAACTTTCCTGCCTGAGCTGGCTTTGAACTGCGATCCTCAGATCTCAGCCTCCTGAGTAGCTAGGATTACAGGTGTGAGCCACCAGTGCAAAGCTATTTCATTCTATTGCAAATTTGACATATGTGTTGATATCAGAAACATAATGTGACATCATAACCATTGTAACATCATAAATCAGCAGTGACATCAAATTGTCATTATGACACCATCAACTCATTGTGACATCACCAAACAACAATGGCATCATAGCAGTATAAATCACAGTGACATTGTTACATCATAGACGTAACATTGTAAAGGCTTATTGTATGAATTCATTCTATTTCAGAAACCCATTTTGACAATATATAACCATTCTGATATCACAATACATTGTGACATCACATTGCCATTGTGATATCATTAATCTGCTGTGCCATCACAAACCAGTCCTGTACTTACAAGTTTTGTGCCATGCTGCCCTCGTTATATATTAGGTCCTTGTGAGCTCATAATCTGTTTTCAATCTCATATTTCTGGTATGACATGTGATATCAGAAATCCCCTGTGACATCATATTGCCAGATTTCATGAATATTGTGTCACATTGTGACATCACAAAACTGTTAGAACAGCATTACGTTTGTGACAACACATGCTTTTGGAGACATTACAGTCACTTTTTGAACTCATATATTCATTCCCAATTAATGACAATTGAGATCTGCCATGCCACTCTGACATCATGAACTCATTGTGACATCACAAATTTATTGTGCTCATCACGAGAATGGCATCAACAACTAATTGTGGTATGAAATCATTATTTTGACATTATATTGTGGTATTGCCGTCGTGACATCATTGTTCCATTGTGTTTTTACAAACCTACTATGGCGACATCACATCTTAGAAAATTCATGGTCTTTGAGATTTCAAGCTTTTTTCTGTGAACTCATGTACTTATGACCCCTAAAGCAAGGACACAAGCCATTGAGTCAAATTTAATATAATAAAACAATTTACAATAGAAAGAGGATTGTGATTACCTTATCCTGGACTGGATACCCAGGTCCAAGAGCATCCTTGACCAACAAACCTCAGAACTTCAATGGGCATCACCACCCTTTTTAATTGGTCTGCAAACCACCATCCAAAAAATTATGATCTCCAAAGCTCCAAACCTCAATGGGCAAGGCTTTTTACTTTTCCATTCCTCCCTCCTTCACTACAGAGCTGTCCTTCCTTCCTGGTCTTTCCCTTTATCCCTTCCACCACTTCCTTCTTCTCTTCCACTCTCCTCCACTCTCCACAGGCCTGCACTACTCTGCCCCCGTGACCACTTGCCAACCTTCTGCTCTCCATCAACTTCCTCTCTTCTCAGATTTTTCTCTTTATTCCATCCTGGTAGCACCAATTTTTATTTCCCCTTCCAATGCTCTGAAAATGCAACCTATATATAGGTTTACCTCTCTTTACTCTAACGGGTCTTCTGCCTAACAGTTTTCAACAATCACTTCCCAAACTGCCCAATGCTCAATAACTCCTTGACAGCTCACCATGTGAGGCTTGACACTTCACCTTTGGCGGCATTCCCCACACTCTCCGGTGGGCCAGACCAAGAATTTACAATGATTATCAGCTCAGACAGATAATTCTGGCCCCACTGGTTATTACATTATCCTCATAGTGAATTAGAAGAAATTGAAATTGTATACGTCATTGTTATATTACAAACTTGATGAGACATCACTAAACCATTGTGACCTAATCACCGTGGTGACATCACAAACTCATTGGGATATCACACTGACATTGTGCTACCATGATCACATTGTGACATCCCAAACCTATTATGACCTCAGAAGCTTTGAAAGAAAGCATGGCCTTTGCGAAATCACAGGCCTTTTGGTATCCATACCCTTATTTTGAGCTAATGACAATTGAGATGAGACATGTCATTTTAACATCGCAAAACCTTTATGACATCATCACCAGTGTAATATCACATTGTCATTATGACAACATCAGCCCATCATGACATCATAAAACAATGACATCATAGCATTATGATATCACATGGTCATTGTGATGCCACAGACACATTGGAATGCCTATTCTGTGATTTCATTCTATTTCAAAAGTGCCAGGTTTGTTGATATCAGAAATACATTGTGACCACATAATGTTTATGACATCACAATACCTTGATGACACCATATTGCAAGTATGATATCACTAACCCACTGTGACATCACAAACTTTCTTATTCTCATAAATTTTTGACATGCTTCCAGTGTGATCCCTTTGGCCTCTCTGAGTTCATAAATTGTTTAACTCATGATACTTCAGGTATGACATGTGATATCAGAAATCCACTGTGACATCATGACCACTGTGACACACTGCCAGATATCATGACCATTGAGTCACATTGTGACATCACAAACCTGTTAAGACTCATGACACTTGTGCCAACATATGCCTTTGGATACATCATTAACCCTCCTGAACTTATATATTCATTGTCAATTAGAGATCTGGCATAAGATTTTGACATCACCATCTCATTGGGAAATCACAAACCTATGTGACCTCATCACCTGTATGGCATCACCAACAATTTGTGACTTCAAAACAATACTATCCCATGTAATGGTAACATCACATTACCAATGGGATTTTCACCATTGCATTTTCACCAACCAATTATTTCCTCATAATATTTTACAAATTTATGGCCTTTCTGACTTGTAGCTCCTTATGTGAACTAGTATCTTCATCGTGATCTAGTAGAATGAAATTGGACATGTAATGGTGATATTACAAATTCATTGTGACACCATTATCCAAGTGTGACCTTATCACCACTGTGACATCACAAACCCATTGTGACATCACATTGCCACAGTGATATCTCGGTCACCTTGTGACATCCCAAATCTGTTGTGAACTCTTAGCACTTTTGAAAAAGCACATGGTACTTGTGACATCACAGTCCCTTTGGGTAACCTTATCCTCATTGTGAACAAAGGACAACTGACATCAGACATGCCATTGTAACATTACAAACACTTTGTCACATCATCTCCAGAGTGAGATCACATTGTTGTTATGATACCATCAAATCATTGTGACATCCCAAAATGACAATGACGTCATAGCATTAGGACATCACATTTTCATTGTTAGGTCATAGAGACAATGTGATTGCCTATTCTGTGGTTTCATTATATCTCTAATGTGACATATAGGTTGATTTCAGAAACCCATTGTGACCACATCACCATTGTGATATTACAATCCCTTTGTGACCTCATATTGACATTGTGATATTATTAATGCAATGTAACATCACAAACCTCTCGTCCTCATAAATTTTGTAACAAGTGTCTACCTTGACCTGGGCTAGATGCCCACAGCTAAATGCAGCTTCAACCATGAACCCTCAGACCTCCAAAGAGGAGCCCAACCATTTGTTATCTGGCCTGTAAATAAGCAACCCCAAAAATAATGATCTCCAAAGCTCCAAACTTCAAAGGACAAGGTTTTTTTCTTTCTATTCATCCTCCTTCTCTACAGACCTGTCCTACCTTTCAGGTCTTTTCACTTTTTTCCTTTCACCATTCCCTTCTTTTCTTCAGGCTTCTCTACTCTTGACAGGCCTGCCCTGCCCTGTCCAGGTGGCCAGTTGCCATCCTTCACCTCTTGGTCTCCCTCAATTTCCTCTCCCAGGTTTTTACCCTCCTGCAGTCTCTTTACTTCTTTCCTTCCAGGCCTTTCCCTCTTTTCTCTCCCCTTCTGTTGCTCTGAACATGCAGCCTATGTATAGGCTGTACCCTTCCCCCACTGCACTATGTTTCCTGCATAACAGTTTTCAATCATCACTTCCCAAAAGTCCATGCCCAATCACTTCATGGCAGCTCACAATGTGGGGCTTGACAACCTATCTCCTTCAGCAGCATGTGCTGCTCCCTTCAGCTGCATGCACCCGCCTCTCCTGTGGTCCAGACCAGGAGGCCATGATGACTATCTGTTCCCATGGATGATAGGGTCACTGCTGGTTATTAAGTGTATCATGGTGATCTAGGAGAAATTGAAATTGGACAAATTTGTGATATTACAAACTCATGATATAACTAACCCATTGTGACCTCACCAACACTGTGACATCACAAACACATTGTAACATCACATTGCTGTTTTTGACACCAGGATCACATTGTGACATCCCAAACCTATTATGACCTCTTATAACCTTTGAAAAAAATACATAGTTTTGTGACATCACAGTCCCTTTGTGTACCCAAATCCCCACCATGAAATATTGACAATTGAGAATCAAACATGACATTTTAACATCAAAAAGTTTGTGAGATCATCACAATTGTGACATCACATTGTAGTTTTGACACCATCTGCTCATCACAAAAGTAAAATAATATGATAGAATTATAACTTCACATTGTCATTGTGACATCATAGACACATTATGAATGCCTTTTCTGTGATTTCATTGCATTTCAAATGTGGCCTGTAGGTTGATATCATAAACAAATCTTGAAATCATAACCTTTGTGACATCACAACCCCTTTGTACATCACATTGTCATTGTGATATCACTAACCTACCATGACATCACAAACCTATCCTGTCATCATAAATGTTGTGACATGCTGCAATTTTTTTTAAGCCTTTTTGTCCTCATGATCTGTTGTGGACCTCATTAGATTTCACATATGACGTTTGATATCACAAATTCCCAGTGACATCATGACCATGGTAACATCACACTGCCAGATGTCATAACCATTGCGTCAAATTCTGACATCACAAACCTTTTTGGATTTCAATATATCTGTGACAACACATACTTTTGGAAAAACTACAGTCCTTCTGTGAACTCAGATATTCATTGTAAGTTAAAGACAATTGAGAAACATTATGTCATTTTGACATGCCCCACACATTGTGACATCACCAATCTTTTGTGACCTCATCATCAATGTGGCATCATCAATTGTGACACCAAAATAATATTTTGACATGATGCAGTGAGTTGACATTGCCATGGTGATATTAATGTCCCGTTGTGTATTCACAAACCTAATATGGCCTCATAACATTTTTAAAAATTCATGTCCATTAGGACTTCAAGCTCCTTCTGTGAACTTGTATGCACATTGTGAAAAAGCAATTGAAATTGGACATGTGTTTAAGATATTACAAAATCATCATGACATCAAAAACCTATTGTGAACTCATCACAACTGTGTATCATGAAGCTATCATGGCCCCTAAGTACTTTTGAAAACACACATGACATTTGTGACATTTCAGTCCCTTTGTATACCCATATCCTCATTGTGAACACATGACAATTGTATTCATATATGCCATTGTAACATCACAAACCTTTGTTACCCCATCATCAGAGTGACACCATTATCTCCTTGCAACATCACCAATTTACAATGACCTCATAGCATTATGACATTATATTATCATTGTGATGTCATAGTTACCTTGTAAATGTCTATTCTATTTCATTCTCTTTCAAATGATGTGGCCTGTGGGTTGATATCAGAAAACCATTGTGATCTCATAAATGTATGGCATCACAATCACTTTGTGTTATCACAGTGCCATGGTGGTATCACTAACACACTGACATCACAAACTTGACCTGTCCTCATAAGTCTTGTGATGTTCTGCAATTGTGATGTCTTAGGCCCTTTATGAGTTCGTAATCTATTTTCAACCTTATAATATTTCAGTTACGATATGTGATATCAGAAATCCACTGTGACATCATGATCATTGTGACAACATACTGACAGATATCATAAATATTGTGTCACACTGTGACATCACAATCCTCCTAGGGCTTCATCACATTTGTGACAACACATGCCTTTGGAGATAGCACAGTCTGTTTTGGAACTCATATTCTCTGTGATTTCATGATAAATGAGATCCTTTATGCCATTTGGATATCACCAACCAACTGTGACATCATAGACCTACTCTGACCCCTTACCTGTAGGTCATCATCAATTAATTGTGACATCAATACCTTTTGTGATGCCACAATATGACACTATGATCATTACATCTGTCAGTGTGATGTCACAATGGTCATGATGTCACAGTGGATTTCTGGTATCTAATGTCATACATGAAATATGAGGTTGAAAACAAATTATGAGGGCAAAAAGTCTGATATCACAATGTCAGCATGTCACAAATGTTAGGAGGAGAGGAGAAGTTTGTGCTGTCACATTGTGCTAGTGACATCACAATGGCACTGTGATGGCACAAAGTGATTATGATGTCAAAATGGTTATTTAGGCACAAAAATGCGTTTCTGATAGCAACTCTCATGCCACATATTAAATACAATGAAATCACAGAATAGGAATTCACAATGTGTCTATGATGTCAAAATGAGAATTGTTGTCATAATATGATTATGTCATTGAGTTTGATTATGTCACAATGAGGTGATGCGCTTATAATGAAAATGTGATGTCATACTGTTGAGAATGTCACAAACACTTTTTGATGTTATAATGGCATGTCTGCTTTCCATTGTCATTAGTTAACAACAAGGATATGGGTACACAAAGGGACTGATGTTGAAAAGGGCATGTGATTTTTCAAAGAAGGTAAGAGATCATAATAGGTTTGAGATGTCACAGGGAATCATGTCACAATGACAATGTTGTCACCATGGGTTTGTGATGTCGTGGTGGTGATGATGTCAACATGTGTTTGTGATGTCACAACGAATTTGTAATATCACAATCAAATTTCCAATTTCAATTGCTACTAGTTCACAAGGAGGATACTGTAATAATCAGCAGGGCCCCGATAATCTACAGGCTTAGATAACCAGTGTGGCCCCATCTCCTGGCCAGCTGGAGAGGATGAAGTATGCCACCAAAGACGGTGGGGCATTCTGTGGGAGGGGCTGGGGCATTAATCATCACGTGCTGAGCTGTGGAGAAGTAATTTGACTGTGGGCAGTTTGGGATTTGACAGTTGAAAACTGTTAGGCAGTTGGAGTGAAGAAGGGGTACAGACGTTATATAGGCTTCTGGTTCAGAGCAATAGAAGGAGAGAGAAAAGGGGAAAAGTCCTGTAAGGAAGGAAGTGGTTTGATAGCAGAAGGAGAAAGACCTGGGAGGAGAAGAAGTTGAGGGAGGGCAGGAGGTAAAGGATGGCAACTGACGACCCATTCAAAGCAGTTCATGCCTGTGGAGAGTGAAGAGGCCTGAAGAGAAGAAGGAACTGGTAGAAGGGAGAAAGGGAAAGACCTCAAAGGAAGTATAGTTCTGTAATGGAAAGACAAAAGAAAGGGTAAAAAAGGCTGGCCCTTTGATGTTTGGAGTTTTGGATTTCATAATTTTGGGGGTTGGTGGTTAGGAGAACATTTATGATATTAAATGTGTCTCTATGGATTCTCTTGAACTATAGAGGTCTTAATTTTTGGAGACCCCCATCGAGATAATCCATTTGGATGGCATAAGGCCTTGGCCTCAGGGAAAAATCCCCATAGGTGAGAGTGTCAGCACTCAGGGTTGAGAGTCTACCTCAAGTGTTTGTCTCCGGAGGAGAATCATGGACAAAAAGTCATTTAAGGTCCTCTAGGGGTGTGTGGGCAAGCTTGCCAGCCTGATTGGGGCTCCCCTCTGGAGGTCATCTGTTGCTTCCTTGGGAAGCCATCTGGGAACTCCTTGAGAGGTCATGCAGGGCTTCTTTGGGAAGCCATCTGGAACCTCCTTGAGAGGTCATGTAGCCCTTCCTTGGGAAGACATCTGGAACCTCATCAAGAGTACATCTGCAACTTCCTTGAGAAGCCATCTGAGACCTACCCTGGAGGTCATCTGGAGCCTTCTCCTGGGGCCATCTTGCACTTTCTCCAGAGGTCATTTGGGGCTTCCTCAGGAGGTCAGCTGTGACCTCTATAAAAGTAGTGATTGGGAAATAAGGGAAACCATGGACCTAAGTTTCTTTGGGCCTGGCTTATTTCACTTAATATAATTTTTTCCAAGTCTTTCCATTTCCTAACAAATGGGGCAAAGTCATTCTTTTTGGTGGAGGCATAGAATTCCATTGTGTATATATACTACATTTTCTTGATCCATTCATCTACTGAGGGGCATCTGGGTTGGGGCATCCTTAAGAGGCAATCTAGGACCACCTCCTGAGGTCATCTGGAGCTTCTTTTGGAGGTCATCTCAGGTTACCTTGATAAGAAATATATGGCTGTCTTCGGACATCATCTGGAACTTCCTTGAGAAGTCATATAGGATGTCATCTGTGGCTTTCTCAAGAGGGTTATCTTGAACCTTCTCTGGAGTTCATATGTGGCCTCCTTGAGTGGCCATCTGGGAGCTACTGGTGAGGTAATCTCAGCCTCACTGAGAGGACATCTGGGACCTCCTTTGGAAGTCATCTGACACTTCCTTGGGAAGCCATTTGGAACATCCATGAGAGGTCATCTAGGGCTTCCTAAGGAGGACATATGTGACATCCTCCAGAGGTCATCCGCGACCTCCTCAAGAGGCAATCTGGAATGTCCTCTCTGTCATCTGGGACATCCTATAGAGGTCAACATTGAGAGGTTTGGGGCATGTGGGTTAAGTGTCTGTGGCTATTGTTCTGTGTGTGCATGCTGATAGTTCTGTGTCCTGTATGACCCTCTGTTTACTCCTTTTCTCAGGATGGGAGAACAAGGCCTAAATTTGTCATATCCAAAAAATATTCTCCCCCAGGGTTACAGAATCCCTCAGAGGAAGATGCACTGATGTACTCTTTCTCCTATTCTTTGCCATCAGCACCTCTAATGTTAAGTCCTCCCATGCGAAAATTGGTTACTTGTACCATCCTGAGGTGGTACAGTATGGTATGTTACCCTTATTACCCTTGAGACGGGAACATGGAGGAGATGGTGGGCAGGTCCCCTTTTTAATATATGGTCCCTTTACAACTAGTGACCTGTATTACTGGAAACAGCAAAATCCATCCTTTTCAGAAAAAAACAACAACCAGGGCTCATTACCTCATTAGAGACAGTAATTTTCACACACACGCACAACTGGGATGAGTGCCAGCAAACTTTACAGATGATTTTCACCTGGTAGAAAAGGGAGTGAATACTGCTCAGTAACTTGAATGTGGTCCCTGGACCGGACAGTAGCTCCACTATTGAACCAGACCATTTGGATCAAGTCTTTCCCCAGATTTATCCAAGCTGAGACTAACAGCAATTGAGGTATGGAGGTGCTTACCAATTATTGCCAGGTTTGGTTAGCAGTGATACCGCAGAGGCTGGAAAGCCAGAAAGGTGAGTGAGATGGGAGAGTTCCCCAGTGAGTACCCTAATGCTTTTCTGAAACTTCTCCCAGAAGCCTATAGGACCTATAGGCCTATAGATCTTGAAGCCTTGGAGAATCAAAGAGCCCTAAATATGGCTTTTGTTAGTCAGCCCCATATCTTAGAAGAAAGCTTCAAAAGTTATAAAGTTTTGAGGGAAAGGTGTATTTTGAGTTGGAAGTGGTTGCCCAGTGGGTGTTTGACAACAGAGGTACCCTGGAAAAAAAAAGAGTAAGAAGGGAGTTTGAGTTTTGGTAGGAGCACCAGAATAGGGATCAAGAAACCCTTGGCAAAGACAGTACAATTCATTTGCAAATGGCAGTAGGGAACCTCTAGGACTAGATCAGAGTGCTTATTGCAAGAAAAATGGACATTGGAAAAAGGAATGTCCAAGGGGGAGAAAGATTGAAAATGACAGGTTATGTAATCCCATTAACACCTGGAAAATGTGATTATATCTCTGGAGAAACATGCAAAGGAGCTTGAGGCTCTGAATTCCAACTGTGTTCAATTTAAAAATAGCCCTATAAAATTAAGAAGAAATGTGGCAAAGAAAAAATTCACACACTTCTATCTCAAAACACAGTTTATAAAATACTGAATCTCCAATATGTGCTAAACAAAACCCACTAAGAGGTTAAAAGCAAATAGAAGAGTACAGTGGAGAAACCAGAGAATTATTGACGTGAAGAAAAGCTTTGAAGATATAAATTACGAACTTGTGAGAGTCAAAAATGAGAAGAAAATCCTCAAAAGGAACCTAGAAAACAGTCAGAATTAAATGAAATTCAAGTACATTAGCCTGGGTGAGCATGAGGCAAGTTAGGGGACCACAGGTCAGAGGCCAACAGAAGCACAAGACAGCAATGCTACCATCCTTGCTAACCACAAGTGAGGCCAAGAAGAGATCCTGATGCTTCATTAAGAAATAGTGGACATGTTCAACCACTTTGGAAAGCAGTATGGAGGTTCCTCAAAAGACTCCACATAGAGCTCCCCAATGACCCAGCAATCCCACTTTTGGGCATTTACCCAAATGATCACAAACAAGGCCACACTAAAGCTACCAGCACAACTATGTTTATTGCAGCATTATTTACCATAGCTAAGACATGGAACCAACCCAGATGCCCCTCAGTAGATGAATGGATCAAGAAGATGTGGTATATATACACAATGGAATTCTATGCCTCCATCAGAAAGAATGACATTGCCCCATTTGTTAGGAAATGGAAAGGCTTGGAAAAAATTATATAAAGTGAAGTAAGCCAGGCCCAAAGAAACATAGGTCCCATGGTTTCCCTTATTTGCAATATCTAGTATAGGTATGAGTCAAGCGGAAAAAGTCAGAGAATGTGATGTTAGGAAAACGAAACCTCAAGTATGTATTTTAATGTTTTTGTTTCTTTCATGCATGTGTTTCTAATGCATTTATAAGATTATTTCATTGTTGCTTTGTATGTCCCTCCCCCACAGTGTAACCCCCGCTTTCACTATATTTGATGTCAGTATAACATGTGGAGGAGATGGGGACAAACAAGTCTTTTAAGGATTCAGGTGGACCTGTTGCAACAATGAGAAGTACAAAATGTCATGTCAAAATCAGCATTACAATGTCGGTGGGGGGGGTATGATTGGGCGGGAGGGAGGGGGGAGGCTGGGAAGGGAGGTGAAGGGTAAACAAAGGAGGAGGCTGCAATGCTTGGTAAGAAATGTATGCATTATCCTGCCCATGTAATTGTAACCCCTCTGTACAGTATGTTCTCAAATAAAATAAAATAAAATTTAAAAAAAAAAAAAAGAAATAGTGGACATAATAAAAGAGCTGGACCTGATATAAGAATGTATTAGGCTGAAGTACATGTTGATTATAAGCTTTGAAGAGTGTCACCAGAGAAAGAAGATAAAAAAAAAGAAGATAAAACAACAGAGAAAGAAGATAAGAATAGATATAGAGAAAGACGAGGAAGTGCTATGTCATAGAAGATGAGGCCAAGAAAAGTGAACAGGAAATATCAGGCTCAAGAAAGAGATTGTTACTCTTCAGTAAGAGTTAAAGGACCACATGGTCTGATAAAGAATGCCGGGGAAAGGAAAAGAGCATTGGGAAGAAAAACAGAAGCGCTAAACAAACAGTTGAAAGATCTGTCACAAAAATACGGTGAAGTGGAAAACTAGAAAGAGAAACTACTAGAGTAAAAAGCCAAAAAGACTGCTGAGATCTTCACCATAAATGTAATGCAGAAATATCATGTCCCAATGGAACAGGTGGAGGTGGGAAAATTTACCTCTCAATAGCACCTTTGTGAACTTAAGGAAGGAGCTGAAGAGCAAGCAAAGGGGTTGTGAGAAGGAACAGCAGTTGGCCAGTCAAAGGAACTCTCATGTGACCCTGCCAAAACATTTGCAGGTTAAGGAGCACATTGAGAAGGAGAGTGGGATCATGAAAGCAAGTTTGAGAGAAAAGGAGGAGAATAAAATGGAAGAAGTATCCAAGGTTCAGAGTACTATACAGGAGTTAAAGAAACTAGAGACCCTAAGATACAGAGAAACATCTGAGCTGGTTAGGTAGCTTGGGAGACCACTCTAAAACCAACGGGGTCTCTAGAGCTACTAGTTGTTAACATTAAAGGAAGAAGCAAAAACAGTGGTAATAAGTGTGCAAATTTTGAAACTAAACTTGGGAAAAATGCATACAGGCTTAAGCTGTCAGTTTATATGTATATATTTGCACCAAGGTAAATTGCCCGAGGCTACTGCCTAAGACTGTTCTGAAAACCAGTAGGGCCTCAGCCTACCAATCCTTTGTAATGTGTGTAGGTAATTTCCAACAGGTAAAAGCTGAAAAGCTGGAACATATGGAAAGAATTCATATGTGAGGAACCTCAGATGGTGAATTGGGCAAGTGGACTTCATAGAGGTAAAGCCTGGAAAGTATGGGTATTGGTATCTACTATAATAGTGGACACTTTTTCAGGCTGAGCTGAGGCATGTAATAATTCCTTGATTTGACTTACCCTTAGGTGTGGGGTCTGAAGTTGGCACTGCATTCATGGCCTAAGTTCTCAATTATTAACTAATGCCCTAGGAATAAATTGGAAGTTACAATCCATATATAGACCTCAGAGTTCAAGGCACTAGAAAGAATGAGTATGACCTTAAAGAAACTTTAACTAAATTAAATACAGAGACTGGCCATGGCTACGTAAGTCTCCTTCACTTTGCTCTTCTTCAAGCAAGATGTAGCCATTATGTTAAAGAATTTAATCCCTTTGAAATACTTTAGGATAGACCACCCACTTTGTTCCCTAATCTTGTGAAGGCTATATTAACAGAAATGTCTAACTACAAATTGCTGGCTTTACAACATATTCTTTTATGTACCTATCCTTTGGTAACCAAGGCCCACTTGCCGCCTAAGAAAAATTCCACCTGACAAGGAGGGGCCAAGATGGCAATGGAACAGCAGGGAAACACCACAGCTCTCTCCAACCAAAAACAGTGTTTGGCTTTCAATGCTCTGTTTCACCAAGTAACACCCTCCCACCCCCCAAAAAAATGCAATTGCTCAGAGAGATATAGGAAGTGATAAAAGAAAAGGGAAAAACCTACACAGACAGTAAAGTGGGAAGACCCTTCCCCCACCCCTTGTTGGTGATGGGGCTCTGTGCTGAGCAGCTTAAGTTGTGGGGATTCGTGCCAGGCTGCTTAAGTATCCTGGCTCTGGACCCTCCAAAGACCACACACAGGCAAGCATCCCAAGGCTCCCAGAAGACTCCCAAGGTACAGTGCCAACCCAGAGAATACAAACAGAAATCTCAAATGCAGAGCCGGCATGAAGACTTCCCTCAGTGGCCCTGGCACGGCGCCTCTGCCTGGTTGGTGCAAGCAGCCCAATCCAGTCTGGAACAGCAGCAGCTTTCAGCAGTGGTGAATGACCCTAGACTCACACTGTGGTACTTCTGTCCTGCTGGTGTAAACAGCCTAGCCTAACCTGGAGCAGCAGCAGCAGCAACTGGCAGTGGCAGCAAACCACCAAGACTCCGGGCACGATGCCTCTTGGCACTAGCCCACAGGAACAGCCCAGACGAGCCCAGGGCGTCAGCGGTGGCTAAGGTGACTACAGCTGCAGTGAACAACTCCAGACCCCTGGTGGTTTGTGCCTCTCCATACTGACCCACATAAGCAGCCCAGCCAAGCCAGAGGCAGAGCAGTGTCTAACACCTGACTCGTGGTGGAGTGTCTGGCTTGCATATGTGGCATAGCTGATCCTGGGGCAGTGGCAGCAGCTCAAGCAGTGCATCAGTTGTGGCAGCAGCAGTGGCATCGACAGCGGCTGTGAACAACTACAGACGTACAGTGGGGTGCAGCATCTCTCCATACTGGCTTGCATAAGCTGCTCAGCCCAGCCCATGCTGGCAAAGGTGGTGAACAGCCACAGAATTGAGGCAGGGTGTGGTGCTGAACTACCCAAGAAAATCCTCATGAACATTCTTGCCTGGGATGGCTTTAAAACTGAATACTCAGATGTGAGCCTCCTGAGCAGCTAGAATTACAGGCATTCCCACCAGCAGGGTCTTATTCTTGCAAACTCCCTAACTTTTTCTCAAATAGATCATTTGTTAGTTCATACAAGGAATTTAAGCAAATACAAGAGGATCGACATAGTACCCTGTATTCTATCTGACCATACTGGAATCAAACTGGTTCTCAATAACAAGGCATAAAGTAGATAAAACTTAAACATATGGAAATTAAACA